ATAAAGGGACGCGAACAGCAGAGGGTGGCTATAGGTGAATCCAGGTTTCGATAGCTTAATGAGGTTATAAATGCCTAGTTCTTCCCATTGCTGGGATTTTTTGGCTTCTACTTTCGCGAACCAATTTTGATAGGCAATATCAGAAGTAGGGCAAGATCTAAATGGTTTAAAATTGCTTTTTACATAATCCAAAACAAATGGGTCCTTGGGAGGAACAGTTGGGGTTTCTGCGGTATTCGAACTAAGGGATTCTACTACCCTAGGGGTATCCATTTTGTTGAATAAAGGTTTGAAGCTATAACATACGGGAAAAATTGTCCTGGTGTCCTTTAGTATTTCAAAAACTGTAAGAGGACCATTTAAGGCTAACCTCTTACCAGCAACATGGGTAGGGATGAGTACCTGTGATGCGTACAGCATTTCTTTTTCTTTGGAAATCATTTGAGGAGCAAGAGCAGATTGGCCTTGAATGGTGACGATTTTACTCTCCATGGTTGCTCCTGTAGTTTTTCCTTTCTTCTTTGAGACTTTCTTGAGTTGGGAAGAGGTGGAGGAAGACATTTTTGTTGTTTGAGAGCTTAGATTGTTTGTGAGAGAAGAAGAGTAAAAATCCAGAGTATGAAAGATTTAGAGTGTAAAAAAGGAAAAGGAAGAGTAAATTGACGTTTTATAATGAGAAGATTAAACATCCACCGAGTAAAAGTATGATACGTGGAGATCATGGGTTGGTGTGATGAAGAGGTGGCGAGAAGGTGGTATAGGTAATAGGCGTGATTTAAAAACAATCATTACTTATAACTGCTCCATGCTGTGAAGTGACTCTGGGCGGTTAAGGAACCCAAAAGGTGCTATGATTGATGTGACTGGAGTCAAAGGCATTAAATGTTATGATGATTCGAAAATCCTATCAAAATCTTGTATAAATGTTTAAAATAGGTATTTCTCAAAGAGATCGAAATACATATTTTAAAGGGGCAATTTGTTGGCTGAAGATTTTGATAATGTTATCTAGAATTCAAAAGAGTTAAAAGTTCTGATCGAAATGGAATTGAACACCATATTTCGAAGTTGCAGAAGCAGTGTTTCGAATGAGTGTGTCAAAGCTTGAAGCTTCGAACGGTGATCATGGGAAAATATCCAAAGGGGTCTCGAAACAACAGCGAGGCTAGGTTTGGGAAGAGCGTTCGAAACGGAGAAACACCAAAGCATTTAAAATTTAAATGGAAGCGGGACTTTCAAAGTTTGAAAGTTATGTGTTGGAGCATTTGGGGACACGTGGAAAGATGAAAGAAGCATTGTCTTGCATGTTCGAAACGTGGCATGATCCTATAGCGAGACCGTTAGGGTCGAATTAGTATAAATAGAAGTCTTAGTATTAGGATTTCAGTGTGTCATATCTGTTATACAAAATACTCAATAACATTCAAACTACCACATGGCAAGGGAAACGAATGCAAGAGAGATGTATGTATGATAGCACCATGTATTTCTAACTTAATGAAAGCCTTTTTACCATTTCCAGTACTTTCCTCTTTTCTTTTTATCGAATAACATTTACAAGTTTCTTTATTTACTGTCTTTTCATTTCAAAGTCTTTTCCTCAAAGTTTTACGTTTTATTGCTTTCTTTATATTTCGAGCACTTTATATTTCAGAGAACTGTTACGCTTTCAATATCTTTACTTCCAAGTATTGTTTTTCAAACGCATCCTTTTACTTAAAGTTGCATTAAACGCTTTCTTCACATTTTAAACTTCTACATTCCAGAAACCTTTTATGTTAAATGTTTTGCAAATCGAAACCATTTACTTCATTTTTCATGCAGTTTTATATGTCTCTTCAATCAGCATTACAATTAGCATTTATTCGTATGACTTAGTTTTCATGTACAATTTGACCACATTTTTAAACTCTTAGAGAGAAGGATCGAAATAAACCAAACACTTGTACAATAGCAACCATGAATAATTGTTCGATTGTGAGAGTAACTTTAATATCCAAGGAGTCCTAGGATCAATCTAGTCGATCCTGTGAGTTACCAGAGAGATTGAGTAGCGTTAATAAAGATTATTCGATAGTTTGGAAGACTAGCGGTTGTTTACCAGAAATCACTGGAAACAATGCTCCTTTGAAGTTCAAAACCCTAGCTTCTAGATCAAGAGAATGCCTTGAGGAACTTTGACAAGTTTGAACAAACTTCTTATACCAATATTCTTGCTTTGTGAATAGAAGTTGTGGAGGATGATAATGAGGACTCATAGTCACCAAAACTACTTCCATATCTTGAAATTTGAGAGAAGTATGCTCTTGTGACCAATAGGAACAAGGCTTTGTCCAAACATAACAGCTTCTCCAATCAACCCATTGTACTTTTGAGTCAAATCTAATAACCTTGAAATGTGATGAACCAAAGCAACCTTGTCATGCCAATTCTCCCAAAACCAATCCAATGATGAGGTTTGAACTTCTCAAGCTATATTGACTAGGACATGGAAATAAACTCATGAACCCATGGAGTAACTTGTTAAATCTCATTGCCCTTCACCTACATGGATAACAAGAAAGACAAAACAACATTGCATTTTATTAGTTAAATGAAGAAAATAAAACAATATTCATGATCACAAAAGGAACATAAGTCAAGATGCTTGGTAATCCCTCAAAAAGAGCAAAACTAAATGTAGGGAGGGGAACCAAGAATCCTAGTGTGATCTTGTTGTGAGTGAATCAACATGGTAAGAAGAATGGATCTTAGGGGGGGAAATTGGGGTACAACATCTTTCATCAAAACATCTGACTTATGCATCTCGCACTTTTCTCATGTACATAACTTCCATTAGGTCATCTAACACATCATGCTTCATTAATCAATAAAATTGGCATTAGGATCAGGGACTTGGTGATTAAGGTTTCTCCTTGGTTTTGAAGCTCTCGTCTACATTCAAAGGTAATTCAAATTGTTTCTTCGATGATCATGGTATGAGTTAGGGTTTATTTACCTATTTTATGTGATAATCAAGAGGGTTCCTTATGAAATTTTTGATTCGGTGGTGAAGATTATTATTCAGAGGGTCTCAGTAATTGTATAAGGTACAAGTTTTGTGCAAGATTTGATACATACAGAGCTAAGATAGGATTCACATGCTCTTTTTGGTCCTCATAATCAATTGAAGTGGCGCTTCACTACTTGGGTCATAAGTCTTCTTATTAGATGTTATTGGGTTTTCATCCATAAGTTCGTTAAAGTTGCAAGATAAAGAACATGGTTCATTTCTTGTGGAGAATTGTGGAAAATGCTTTGAAAATTGAAGTTCATAATATAATTGTAGGGAGAGAAGAATTCAAACTTATGTGAAGGAAAATATCATTATATGTTCTAGAATTCAATACATTTCAAGTGCATCAACTATGAATACCAAACATCCATTGCAAATATATTACATTGGAAATTATACAAAAAGAGAGTACATTTGACCTACTGTTTACTTTTGCCAAACAGTTGACCAAAGTCAACCTACTATCCCACTCTTATGCCATACTACAACTTTTCTGCAAAATGTCATCAGCCCTGTATTAGAATATCATCACCATGCCTTAGACTGCTTCATTAGTATCATCTCCCTTAGTGTGCTACACCATGAAACCATGAATATAAAGCTGCTGCGTAAACTAACAATCCACACACTAACGATACCGTGACCCTTACAGTATCACCATACTAGCCAAGCTAATAAGACTTGATGCACTTCACATTAAGGAGATGATGCCGTGTTCTAATCCTGATATACACGTCCTGCAAGTCATCACAAAAACAGTCTAGACAAAAAATCCAAACACAAAATAAGTTCACTACATCAAAACTTGCTCCTAAAAAAGGCTTACCAAATTACTACTGTGCTGGACCAGATTTATACCAAAATGCCACAATGTTAAGTTTGTCAAAGTTGCACTCAATACCTGCATAAGAACTTCAACAATTCAATCAAACTGTATCCATCAAAAATGTCTACAAAGATTTCGATAGATTCGAAGTACGGCGAACTCATCAGAATCAAAGATTCCGAAGAACCCGATCATGTTAACTGCAAATATTAACAAGACTCAAAGAAAGAAGAAGTACCGGAATCGAGTCTTCCTCCTCAAATCGATCGAAGAAGAAGCTTATTCTGAATCTCAATGGCTTTCTCATCCTCAAAATTCATATTCTTGATTACTTCAGATGCATTTTAGTCCCGAGTTGTGTAGCTGATTACCGATTCTTAGACATTATACTTTTTGAGAGGTTTTTTAGCGAAGAGTTAATGAAATTCTGCTTACAAAGATTCCAAGTTACAACCTTGTCTTTAGCAGTGAAGAAGAATGTGAGTGGTGCTTTAACATATGTTATAGGAGGAGATATAAGCTGCTATTTGCTTGGGATCAATCCCACTGTAACAACACTGGGTATAAATCTATGGAGAATGCTCAAAAGCCTTTTTTCGGAAAGAATTAGAAAATGTGTGGAATCAATATCCATTATATTCTGCATCTAATACTTTGGTGATTAATGACTAACCGTAATAGAACTGCTCTTAACTACCTGTAACAGAAAAATAATAGTTCACAAAAACAGAAATATAACTTCTTCAACTCCAACTCGTAACAGAATGCTAACAGAAACTAACTGCTAATAGATTCCATAACCCCTAACTGTTTGTAACCAACTTCCTAACAGAAAGATAAGAATAGGGCTTTACCTGGCAATGGTTTTCATTCTGCAATTTCGGGAGAATCACCAACCTAAAATCTCTTTCTACTCTCTCTCTCTCTTCCCTCTTTAACCTTCACCACCATACACTCTATTTTCAACCTTAACTTCATTCTTCATCTTGATACATTATCAACCTTCTATTCCTCACCTCTGAACCTCCTTCTTCATCCTTTCTCTTCTCACTCTCTCTTACGCACCTTCACCATCAACAACCATCCATGATTCAACATAGAATACTCAGAAAAAAGAGGAGAAACGATTATCTATGGAGAGAAAAACTTCACAAAGGAACTCACCTCTCTCTCTTTGAACCGCATCAAGATCTTCCTCATCAACCTTCAATCTTAAATCTTCTATCTACTACAACAGTATCATCAACTCTTCAACCATCTTATTCTCTACAACTCTTCTCAGCGTCTGCATCGCATCAACACCATCATTCAATCTTCATCTCAAATCCGAGTTTATTTCTCAGATTATATCTCTGCAACATCAAGAACACATCAAATCGTCATCCTCGCGTTAACTCGGTTCTTCAACAACAACGTAGAGGAATGAGATGTAGAAGAATCAGAATCAGAAAAGAAAAGCGTACCTGAGAGTTTCTCCCTTGGCTTCTCGTCATCTTCGTCGCCATAAAGAAGCTCCGAACATTCTCCAGCTGGTAAGCCTCGAATTCTCTCTATTTCTTCATCAATTTCTCTATATCGCGTTTTTCTCTGTTCGCGTTCGGTGTGAAGTTTGTTAGAAAAGGAGCTGAATCAATGAAAGCGAGAAGAGCTGTGGTGGAACCGGGCCGTCTTGCGGTGGAAAATGGAGTTATAGTGGCGTCATCTGTGTTCGATTGATTCGGAGGGATTAGAGGTTGAAGCCATGTGAGGAAATCAAGTGAGGTAAAAGAGGTTTTCATGCGGAAGAGATGTTGTGATACGGAGAGGGACGGAGGTGCTTTCGACGCTGTAAAGTTTGATGGGAGGAAGAAGAAGATTTTGTGTTTTTCTTTGAAGAGCTGAACAAGCCACGACATAAAAACCAATCCAAATTATCCAAAACTATGTCGTTTAACCATGTTTTGTTTATTTCATGTATTTCTTTTTTTCCAATATAATTGATAATCACAATAATATAGGAAATGTTGAAATCTGGGTAATGGACTAGGCCTCCGATTGCATTCTCTCTATAGCCCAATCGTCTGTTTTTTGGTACAATTCCAAAAAGAGTTTCTGGACCTCAACATGAATGGGCCCAGCGCCCTGCTCCTGCAATACACTACCATCCTGACTTTACACCCCAGACTTTCCTATTTTCCTTTTATATCTTTTTTAGTTTTAATTTCTTCTTTCATGTTTTTTATAGCAAAAATATATGATAAAAATAATAAAAATGGTAGAATATAATAGAATGTTTCTATTAATTCTTTAGTTTTTTTCAAGCATTTTCCCCATATAAAAAACTAATAAAAAATACTTTCTCTTTTAGGTTTTTATTGATATTTTCATACTGTTGTGCCTTGTTATTCTTGACGCGTTTGTTCATTGTGAAAGGTACATTTTTGGTGTTTTCAATCATGTAACATAAGAAATTGTTATGTGATCGAAGCATGTGGCTTATGCTCACTTCCGATGCGACACGCCTTATTTCTCATCGTCCTGAGAAATTCATATCATATTATATGTTGTCCTGATGCATGTGATATTTTATGATGCTTTGTGCAGAAACTTTTGATTACGCGTTGCATTTGCAATATGCGTTTGCTTTTATCTTAGTTAAATATTGTTTCCGACTTTGTTTGTTTCTTGGTGAAGCTTGCTCGACGCGTACTCCCTGCTTCTCCATTGCTTTCGTCTGCTTTCGACAATTCACTTGCTTTTGGTAGTCGTCGCTACTACTTTCGTATTTATCCGCATTTTATCGCATTTCTTTACCGCTTTTCTAGAGATAATAAGAAGTAGGGCTTTATTGCTTTCTGATGCCATGAAAAGTAGGGTAGAGATGTATGAAGGGGATCTCTGTTACTGATCGTGTCAGGAATCCCTCTGGTTTATTTAAAGACCCATTTAGGATAATTCTGTATTGTGTGTTTTTTGTATGCTATATGTGTTTGTTTAAAACCCTACCTTTGAAGTAGGTATTCTGCACCTGTGTTTATATTTGTGCCTGCATATGTTACAGATGATAAGTCCTCAAAAAGAGGCAAGCGGTGAGGGTTCACAATCAACCCCCGCAATTTTGTTCGTGTCATCCTTAGCTCGTGACGCACCATGACACTTTGGAGTTGTGCCTGATCTTGTTATTGAGTTATCAAGTGGGGAAGGGTTTTACGATCAAACCCCCACACTTTGTCAGGAGTTTGCATTGTCTGATGCTGACACTCCATGATTGTTCATATCGTCTTTTGTCGCCTACCTCGATCTCCTATATCTTGGTTAGATGTTCAGTCACTTTAGAAATCACATTTTTGTTTTACATCCTATTCCCGCTTGTTTGTCTCAGGTGATACGCTCCCCTTATCTAAAGCATTTCGCTTCTTTTCTTTACCATTCTATGTGTGTGCTCTTTCGAGCTTGTTTGTTTTATTCTTGTACATACTATGTTCCCTTAGGATGTGCTTATTCCTTTCGGATGCAAGTTAAACCTTAGGTTGCAAACCATGCATACTAACATTAGGTAGAGATTTCCTTTTCATCCTTGACATAGGGCTACCATTGTATGATAACATTAGGATTAGAAATAGGCTAGTCTCCCTTAGACTCTTTTCTTCCCCTTTTTGAATTTGCATTTAAAACTAAAACTTTCTTTCTTAGCAAATCATAAAAACACCCTCTAATCACACTTAAACCCTTTTTCAAGGTAACAAAACACAAACCAATCAAATGTGGCATCTTGCCTTGAGGGCGTAACTCAAAACCATTTTCAGGTAAGGGCATGTTAATTTACTTATGTGCTAACGCGTGAGTCTCCAAAGGTCGAGCTGCGGCAGAAGGCAGAATTAACATTGTTCATAAAAAAACACAAACAAACAAAAACATATGAGCCGAACTACGATAACTATGATTCCTCAAAAAGAATACATAGGCATTGGGGTAGGGCCCAAGCGAGCACAACTTTATTTTCCCTACATTATTTTCTCCTTTATTTTGCATGCATTTTTCCTCAGTAGTAAACAGTAAGCATAGATTAGACATACCCATAAGATAGATAACAAGAGTGGATATCATAGAATACTACGAGTGTATGGGGATGCTAATACCTTCCCCTCGCGTAACAGACTCCCTTAATCGATCTCTCAGTTGAAAGATTGTGACTTCTCCCTTCTCATGTTTTCTCGATGTTTACCTTTCCCTTCATGTGAGATAAAAGACGTTTGATGGCGACTTTATTGTTTGATGATTTTCAGCCGGTTGTTTCATTATCATTAAGGTGATTCTAGTAAGTGAGTTGTGGTTGTCATATCTAGGAGGTTCCTAGGTAGAAGTTGCATAAGGTAGTGATTAGGTGATAAGTTGTAAGCTAGGATTGTTTATCTTTGATTTAATACTATCATAATGGATTTCCTTCCTGGCTTAGATTCTCCTGGAGTAGGTGATATTGCATTGAATTGGGTTAACAATTGATTGTGTCTTTTTACCTTCTACAACTTACTTCTGCATAATTTATTGTTTGGTAAAATTATTCTGTCAGCAGATGATCTCTTAACATCTGTTTTGACATTTTGTTTTGGTGTTAGGACATTAGTCTTAACATCTATTTGAAAGTTCCAAAATTTCACAATACACTAGTACCTTCAAAGGGCTCTCATCCAAGCAGGTTTCCATGCCAACCCAATGAGACTTACGCTAGAAAGGTTTACATGACTATACCACCATACTATCTTAAGTGCACTCAAGTCTAGGTAAAGGACTTATCTCACTATATAGAGATCACCAAGCCCCCAAAAACAAGCAAAATAACAGCAACAAAAAACAATAACATAAACACGGATAAATAAGTTAGGTTTAACCCGCTTAGGATGGGAATTTTCCCCAGCAGATTCGCCAACTGTCGCGGTAGGAAAAATTTAGATTAAGATATTGATTAACTTAACTCAAAAAACAATATTCGCCACTGAACTTTATTGTTTCCCAAGGAAAAAGAAAATTTGATAAAACTCAACGCGAAAAATAAAACAAAAGAGAGATATGGATATGGGGGTTGGTTATACAAGGGGAAGGTATTAACACCCCTCACATATATGGTGCTCCATAGGAACCTCTTGAAAATGTATATTATTATAAAAATTGGGTTATTTGCAAAAAGATTGGGATGATGAGAAAATAAGTATTTTATTATCTTCACCATGAAAGTTTGTTGATTGATTTTAAATTGGAAAGACATTTCATCCTATTCGAGTGGAAAACACAACTTACTATCCACAAGTATGGGAAAGTGAGAATTCGCATCATCTTGATATAGAGAACTTTTACTTGGACTTTCTCACAAGCACATCTCAACATTCAAGTGGAAAATAGAAATCACTTCACAATATATTGTATAAGTATAGAGGTTTTCATCACTACTAGAATAGACTAATATCCAATCTTTTAAAAAAGGTTTAAAAGAAAAGTGAACAAAGGCACAAAAATAAATTTGATGAGGTTTGTATTTTTTAGAAGTCTTGAAAAGAGTTTGAATATGCGTAAGTGTTTTAGCATTTACTAAGAAAAAAAATTTCATGATCACTTGACAAGGTCAAGGTTTATTAAGAAAAAGGTTTGAAGTTTGAAAAAAGAAGTTTTAAAAATAGGGAGAAGTTTTGAAAATTTAAGAAGTGGGTAGGAGATGAAGAGACTATCCTAAAGAAAAAAGTAAATGACATGAAATAAAAGGTCTCATTGTAAGGTAGCCCATGAGAAAGCTTTTGTGTGTATAAGTGTACTAACCATAAGATGGAGCAAGCATTTGACTTTGGTCAAAATAAGAATTTCTTTACCTTTTGGATTAAGCCACAAGATAAGAAAATCACATGAGCAAGCACATAAGCAGATAAAGACAAAAAGGACCAGATGAATATCAAGGTCATAGAGCCATAAAGAGAATCCCAAGTCCTTAGGTAAAGATCAAAAATTCTCATAATAAAGCCAAGTCTTGAATTGAAATCAAAAGATCTAGATGAATACAAAGTCTCATTAACAACCACTCCAAGTAAAGGAGAGCACTAAGTCATAAGGTCCAAAGTCCAAAATACTCCTCAAGCAAGGGATAGTAACACAAAGTCTTAAGATCAGATGAATTTTTTTAGGGTTTTATCCATTTCATAATGTTTTTGTTCTTTTTGAAGCAAAAAAGCAAAAGAAGCGAAAAGATAAAAAGTCATAAAGTAAAAGGAAAATTTTAAAAAGGAAAGAATGTAAATGACATGAATGTAAATGGCAATAAAAGTAAAGCTAGAGGTTAGCATAATTAATATGTCAATGTTAGTGTTAGTGAGTAATCAATCGAGTTGGGACAATTTAGCGCTATGTTAAGAAATTGTAAGTAGACTTATGTAGAAGTCACACCTATAAGAGGTCGGTCAATAACAATTTATGTGTTATACATGTTAAAGAAATGATACAAAATCATCCTCTTAAAACAATGTAGCACAATGATCAAAACAAAAGCAAAAAAGAAGAAGATGGAGAAGGAGAGATGATCAAACACATTTGAAATGTATCAAGGGATCATATATAATCAATTTAAATCATTCAAGCTCACAATAAAATGGAATAAACTTATCATTAATCCAAGGCATCGAAAATGATAAAATAATAATTTAAATGATATGTTTGAAATGATGAAAGTTCATACAATCAAAGCATCATTCAAAGACAAGTTAAAATTAATGAATTATTGATCAACCAAGTCATAATCCAAGTCAATAAAAGTCAAAATTGAAATGAATTAAAATATGAAGAAAAAAATTAAAATGATTTTAAAAATGATTTAAAATGTAAGTTAAATGTAAAATTTCAAAGAGTCGTCAAAACATCAAATAAATTGTCAAGAAAA